GACTATCGAATTTTACAAGGCCGTTTAGCTCTTGAAGAATTCGACCAAATTGAAGCTTTAATGGTACATAGTTATGCAGATAATTTGGTTGAACGGAGAGAGGAAAGATCAATGAAAGGACTTAAATTAGTCGAGTTTAAAGAACAAAGTTTGCACTTAGTGTATGATTATATTAATATTTTAAAAGTTCTCTTATTATTAAATAATAAAACAAACCATTTAGATGAGAAAGTCACACCAGTTGTCGTTGACTGGCCCGGACAGATATTCATTCGAAAGGCATTACATATGCGAACGATTCTGGGTTTACAATATGAATTTCTACAAAAACTTGAGTCATTTTTGCCAATAATGGGCCTCTCTCCATCTATCGTTAAACAGCAGAGAGCAAGTTATTTTAGTTCACCATTCTTTTTTTAAGAAGTTATTTTATTTTGCATTCGGTGAAGACAAAAAATTCACAAAAAAACCCCGGCCCTGGAGAATAAATCTCCTACTAGAACTTTCGAGAAGCAGTTGGCTTAAAATTAGAAATGAAGGATATTGAATATCGAACGACCATTGACTTGCTCGACAATTTAATTCCTGCTACCCTTGATGTGTATGCAATTTTGTTTCACTCAGGCCACTTTGAGGAATATGTAGAGTCCATTTTTCGTATTTGGACATTCTTTTTGTGCTGGAAGAGGAAAAACTACAATAAAGCACCTCTTATATTTCTGTCGAATTTATTTTATTGGATGGATACGGGTCAACCTTTTTTGAAAGTATTGCAAGAACACTTGCCAAGTTTCAATGAGTATTATGTAGAAAATATGCATAGCAGAATTAGAGCAAACACATCTCCGAATGCAACGGCCAATAATATCATAAAACAAGCCTATGTTGTAATGAATCACGATCTTACTTTTAAAAATACATACTGTAAAACTCGACACTATCTATATAATGCTAAAACACTAGATTTTTTATCTGATAAGGCTGGTCTTTTTTTATTGCAGTATTTTCAAAATATCTATTACAATTGTGGAAAAAGTAATGCTATAAAAAACATCACCACTGAGAGCATCACTACTGGGAGCACTACCACCAAGGGTGACACTACCGCTATAAGTGGCACCACCATCACCAAGAATGGCACCAAGAATACCACCACCGAAAGCAGCACCAAAAGTGGCACCAAGAGCACCACCACCAAAAGCGGCACCAAAAGCATCACCACCAAAAGTAGCACCAAGAGCACCACCACCAAAAGCAGCACCAAAAGCACCACCACCACCAAGAGTGGCACCAAGAGCACCACCACCAAGAGTGGCACCAAAAGCACCACCATCAAGAGTGGCACCACCAAAAGCAGCACCAAGAGCGGCACCAAGAGCACCATTACCGGGACCACCACCAAGAAAAAAAAAACACCTCAAACATATAAACTAGAAACTTTAAATGAAGAAGTAGACTTGAGATGTTTACCGATGGCATACAGTACATCATACCCTCCACACCCCGAATTATGTGATTCCTGTAAACTTCCATTTATTAATAATGATGATATAGTATTTGTATGTGGTCACAGTTACCATACAGCTTGTTATAGTAGGAGGTGCAGTTACTGTGAAGAATTTTATAAGAAGGGAATTGTCAAAAACATCAATGCATTTCTAAAACGAATTGAA